CGAGAAGCTGCAAAAGACACAGGCGCAAGTGGAATGTACAAAACATGGTGACATTCATTTTTAAGTAAATATAATGGCCGATATATTGCGTCACCAAAAGTTATTGAGGTCATGTACATATATTGCGCGATAAGTCAAGAGCCTGTTCTAGTACACCCTTAAAACAAGATCAAGACTTTGTAAAAGAGCATAATAGGACCCCTTTAAGACACTTTTGCAGCTTAGTTTCTATAGATCTGCGGAAAATGGTAAGCAAAATCCAAATTTCCATAACCGGACCCTTTAAAAAGGAGTTGGCTGATATTGTAAAGTGCACACAGATTAGTATTAGCACTGTTTCTAGGCTCTGGAGCTGTTGCTGCCAGTATTATGCCCTGATGACATAAATCTAAAGGGAAAGAAAGACTCTTCTGGTCTCTCTTATCGTCTCTGCATTAGGCACAATGGTCATATTATATTTCACTTTTGTCGGGAAGGGAAAATCTAAAGCGGATGTGCCAATTATAGGGGGGAAAAGCGTCGGCAAACAGCACATTACAGAACGGGGGGGAAAAGGAAGTGCTTTCATCAGGCCGGGGCTGTGTGAGGTCACGGCTGGAATGCAGGAAGTTGGTTTGATGTGGCGTTTAATAAATCTTTACTATAGACCCTCAGCATTGTCGAGGGCGCTTAAATCATCAGCCGCTGTTTGGGGTTCGGGGGTTTCCTTCTCGAACACCAGCGCGCTTCTGCATTGCATTAAGGCTCTGTGTCGCTTGCACTAATTGCGTTGAACAAAGTTCAAAGTTTGGCTGATAAATAATCTCTGGCTTTGATTTTCCATGACTATGATCTGTAATGCCTCGTTTTATGGGCTTTATTTTGCGAAAGTCCCATTTGATCAGCATAAGCATCACCATACTGTTCGCTGATCGCTTGGTTGTGTGTTTCTAAATCAGGGGCCCCGGACCCCACGGCGGGGGCCAGCGTGGACGATGAGAACTGCTGGCATTTGGACGAGGAGCAGGTCCAGGAGCAGGTCAAACTCTTCCTGTCCCAGGGGGGATACCATGGCTCGGGCAAACAGCTCAATCTCCTGTTCTCAAAGGTGGGCTGAAGTTCCAGGAGCCACTCGGGATGATTTGACCTTTTCCACATCACTGCATTAGCATTTTAAGCGATCAAATAATGAAACGCTTGAAATTTAGCATGCTAGTATAAACTCACTCACTACATTTGAATAAAATGCAATGCGTCCTGTCTGGATGGTCTCATAAAAGATGTCCTAACCAGGCATGACGCAACCTTGAACCAAAAAAAAAGTGTTCTGTTTGCAAATAAAATACTTTAAGAAGCTACAAAATCAAGGCCAATCAAAAAACATTTCATGTTTAATGCATAAGTTGAGTGGAACTTGGGACCAATTAAATTTCTGTGTGGGTGGAGCTACACTACTGTTTAAAAGTTTGGGGTCATTTGAAAGAAATGATTTTATTCGGCAAAAATGCATTAAATTGAGCAAAAGTGACATTTATTATAAACAAAAATTAATGCTGTTCTTTTGAACTTTCTATTCATTAAAGAATCCTGACAAAGAAAATGTATCATGGTTTCCATCGGTTTTCTGATTTATGACACTGATTTATATATTTTATATAATTTATAAAATATATTATAAATAAAAATACTTAATAAAATCTTTTGATTAAAAATGATTTATTTGTTTAATAAATTTAAGCAAGCTGTTTTTGACATTTCTGTATGTTAATGACACTAATATATTTTAATTAAAAATAATTATAATCAAATATATTTTATTTTATTATTTGAGCAAATATTTATCATATTCTAATAAAATTATATTATATTAAAATAAATGAAATAAGGAATAGAATTACCTCATAATAATAAAAATATAATGAAATATATTTTATTTTATTATTTGAGCAAATATTTATCATATTCTAATAAAATTATATTATATTAAAATAAATGAAATAAGGAATAGAATTACCTCATAATAATAAAAATATGCTGCTATGCATAAGTGAGCGATTTAATGTTTCCAGAACAGCAATAAAAAAAAATATATATATATATATATAGTTCACAATATTACTGGTTTTTATCAATTAAATGCAGCTTGAGCAGAAGAGACTTATTTAAAAATCTGGTCATGTTTATGTGTCTAGAGTGATCAGAATGAAAATAAAATGTCCTGTCCTGCACCACTTTTCATGGTCGTAGCTAGTTTGAACAAAATATTTTTAATCATTCAATCATTTTAATCCAATGACTTTTAATCATTGGATATGGTGTCATGTTTAGCATTTTTGGTGCCAGTTCTTAAATCTTGCATGTGTGTATGCATTGTCCTGCAGGTACGGGAGATGCTGAAGATGCGGGACTCGAACGGTGCTCGCATGCTAACGCTAATCACAGAGCAGTTCATGGCGGACCCGCGGCTGGCTCTGTGGCGGCAGCAGGGAACCACCATGACGGACAAATATCGGCAGCTGTGGGACGAGTTAGGTGAGAACAACACAAACAATCAACTTTTTGCTTTTTCAGCACCCGGATTTCGGCTGAATCAGTTTTTTTTTTGGATGCAAGACTTATTGTGCTAGATTGCATGTAGATCTTGTGTGGCATCTGTATGGGAACTGGTCGCTTGTGTTGTTTCTCTCAGTCCCGCCGTGTTTTTTTGAGTCCGTCTTCACTGCACTCAGCGTCTGTGCGGATCTCCGTTTAAAATCCACCTGCGTCTCTGAGGACGGCCATTTAGAGGATGCTGCCGTTGCCAGATTGCATATTCGTAGCTTTTGCTCTTGATCAATATTGCATATTCTTTTCCCACTTAAAACCCTCTCGGGTGTTTCCGTCTAAAATATACTGTGGTAAGCACACGAAACCGGCGACGCACTTTAGGCCGAAGTGCTGCGTCCTGCTTCTATTGCTTCAATTACTGTAACTGGATCAAAACACACGGAGCCAACAACACTGCCATTCAATCCACCTAGCGTAGTATATGTAAGGAATATATCATGTTTTTTGCCGCCTTTCCATCTCAATTTCCTGCTATCAGCACTATTGGAATGAAAGCGGTGAAAATTGGAAGGACGTGTAATCATTTTAATTGTGACTGGCTCGCCGCATCTTGTCAGCCTGCCAATTCTCAAATCCTGTGATGTTTCATCAATTTTGCCTTGGCACTCGGCGGCAGTGGGCACAATTGCTGGAGTCCAGGGCCCTGGGTGCCAAGCGCAGAAGCAGAGCACTAGACCAATGGACCCGCAAATCGAACGTTCAAGCATTTGATGAGATAACTACGCAAGTATGTGAACGCAACCGTTTCTAGCTACTCGAGCTTGATCTTATGTGTTGAAACGTGGCCAAATGCAGTTGATAATGTGGTGCAAGTGCAGTTTTTCTCAGGCCCTATCCACACGAACGCGGTTATTTTTAAAACCGCAGCTTTTTCTACGCGGTTAGGCCGTTCGTCCACATGCAAATGCAGCACCAGGTCACTGAAACCGAACATTTTTGAAAACGCCTGCCAGGGTGAAGATTTTCAAAAACTCCAGTTGCAGTGTTATCGTGTAGACAGCGAAACCAGAGTTTTTGGCTTGTGACGTCGGCGCCTGCGCTGTTATTTCCGCCTACTGGAGACTTTTTCAGGCTTCCGATTGGCCAACAGGGTTTTACGGTTGAGATTATATCGCCACCTGTTGGTTTGGCATGCTCTTGACAGTGCTTCATAGCATGCGTTTGCGTTTTCATGTGGGCGGAGATTTTTTTTTAAACGAAGAAGGAAAAACTTAGTTTATAAAAATACCCGTGTACGTGTGGACATGGCCTCAGTGTTTTTGCACTGGTGTTGTTGCATGCATTAGAGTAAACTAATACTTCATCTACTGTGCATTGGCCAAGCATTAGCATTTACAATAAAGAAATGAATTAATACTTTCATTCGGCGAGGATGCATTAAATTGGTCACAGCATTTCGAATAAATGCTGTTCTTTTGTACTTTCTATTCATTAAATAATCTTGAAAAATGACAGCTTCAGCATATATAAATCAGCATATTAGAATGATTTCTGAAGGATCATGTGACACTGAAGACTGGAATAATGATGCTGAAAATTCAGCTTTGCATCACAGGAATAAATTACATTTTACAATATATTCAAATAGAAAATGGTTATTTGAAATCTTAATAATATTTCACAATATTACTGTTTTAACAGTAAATAAATGCAGTCTCAGTAAGCATAAGAGACTTTGTTCAAAAACATTTTACCGCCTTTAGTACTTGTGTAAACTATGTTTCTGTCCTCTGTTTGAAGGTTTCAAGGGCTGGAGTTTTAGAGGCTGATGCTTTTGTGTCCGAGCTGACAGTGAATTTGCGGGGCTGAACAAGATTAGCGGGCGTTTGTGTGCAGTGAGGCCTTCTGTGTCACATTTTTGTTTGTCGGAGGATGAGGAGAGGCTGCAGGAAGGGGAAGAGAGGCCCTTTGTGTCTCAAAGGGAAGTGGGCAGTTTAATGAGTGGCCCCTGGATGGGGGCTCCCAACCAACACGAGTCCTACACCCTTATAATGTTGCATCCCACAGAATTTAAGAGAAATGCAGTTTGCAATATGCACAGTATTTCCTAGGTTTCTAGTCTTGTCTGATCTGGTTTACAGATTAATTTGGCCAAGAACAGCCCGCATAGACAGGAAGAGAACATAACGTTTTTGTCTCTTCCGGGCGAGCTCCGCCATTTTGAGAGCTCTTACACCCCTGAAGAAGCCGTGGAGCGGCCCTGGTTCATTAAAAAGAGGAGGTGAGCAAGATCGGAGGGGCACATCTTCCCTCTCCCCCTCTCTCAGATGAATCATTACGTCTGTCAGGCCCTCTAAGCCCTGGCGTAATTGGAGAAGCCTTCGTTATGAAGGCTGCCCCCTCCTCTTCCTCCCTGACAGGCGCGATAATGCGAAGACTGTTTCATTAAATCCCGGACACTTAATCTGACACCGGCGGTCAGGTAGGCTGAGGATGAGGAGTGGAGGAGACGGCTTCCAGCGAGTGCGAGAGGGAGATTACAGCCCAGATTTATACGCTCGCCCCTCCCAGCATCCTTCACTCCGCCGCTTCCTTCATCCGTCTCTCGCTCCCTCTGCTGCGAGCGGGTTGCTTTTGTTGGGGGAACAAAGGCACGCTTGCATCAGGCAGGTCTCGGATCGCTTTTATTCATTATTTTCACAATTACGTTTGGTGCTGCTAGTGGCAGTCGCTCTGCTCGCCGTCGGCCCCATAGAAAACCCATACTGCTCGAGCAGTCGCAGTGTTTATGCTTTCATAATGACTGATCATCACAATCAGACTATACTAGTTGTGTGGATGGCGTTTGTTTGTTGTTGTGTGCAACCAGTGAAGACATCGACATTGGCGTCTTATTATTTTACTGAGCATTGTAGAAGAATGTGTAGACATTCAAGAACCATTCATTATTAGTTCACGAAAATCTGATTTTGTTGCAAAAAAAACTTGGCACCCATTATATTTCATATTATATTACATTTAATTGTGTATAATAAATTATATCCCAGCAAAAAATATATATTTTATATTATATTATATTATTATATTATATTATATATTATATTATATTATATTATATATTGAAGATTATTTCTTATTATTATTATCATTATTATTATTTCCAGTATATTCTAAAATATTATATATTAACTATGATGATTATTGTTTCTGATATATTATTTCACATTTTATTATATATTAAAAATTATTATTTCCCACCAAAAACATTAGCACACATATATTATATGTGACCCTGGAGCACAAAACCAGTCTTAAGTCGCTGGGGTATATTTGTAGCAATAGCCACAAATACATTGTATGGGTCAAAACTACAGATTATTAAGTAAAGATCATGTTCCTTGAAAATATTTTGTAAATTTCCTGCCATAAATATATCAAAACTTAATTTTTGATTAGTAATATGCATTGCTAAGGACTTCATTTGGACAATTTGAACTAAGCGATTTTCTCAATATTTAGATTTTTTTGCACCCTCAGATTCCAGATTTTCAAATAGTAAATAGTT